TCTCAACGTAATATAGCTTCGTATCGACACCTGTGATACAGATAAAGTGGATCGGGTTGGGAAACCTGGTTAGTACATATGGTTTTCAGCCCACAATAATATAATTATTATATTTAATCATCAAATAATCAACTCAGTTACTCATCCCCATTATCTTCTTTATTCTTAAGGATCTACCCTAAGAATCATATGTCCTTCATTTATTCATTCCTAAGGATCTTCCTAAGGAATAGGCACGAAGTCTATCGTTGCCAGGGTTTTTAGATTACAACTGGTGAAAACTTAGTTCAAAGGTTAGGCATAACTGCCAGGATTTTTAGAGTACGTCTAGTGAACACGTAGTTCAAAAAACACCTACAGGTTGCGAGGTTGCTAGCGTTCCACTGGACTTTCTAGAATAGTCTGTGGTCGTCATCTATACTCCGCTAGATGACTTGATCATTGTAAACATCAAGGCCTCTCGTCATTTTATCACACATTAACTATTTCATCTACTCATGTTTTACCCAGCATTTTCATAGATACAAAATACATATATAGTTTAAATCATTTAAAACATGTATAAAGCGTACATCCAGCATAGATATCAAGATTAGGCGAGTTGTCCCAATACATAGGCGAGTTGGGCTAAGGCCCAACTCATTCTCAAATATAAATTGGCATATTCGTCATCATTGGCTTTACTAGCAGGGCTGGCCCAATACATAGGCGAGTTGGGCTAAGACCCATGGCAGCAAAATTTAAAGGGCATAAATTTAGTCCATTCATCTATAATATATATAATATTGGTCCAGAAAAATTAGCCCATTACCCTTTCAGTCCAATTTATGTAGTGAGAAGGGCAACGCCAATGTGGGGGCGAAGCAACCGAAGAGACAGGTGATCATCAACTTTGCGTAGAAAAGCAAAACGTCAACAATATTCGACGCCTAGAAACACACCCATCTGGTTTTCGATCGAGAGAACTCAATGCCTCGAAGCACGGCCATTGATTTCGAATGTCGATCGTCGATCTCATCTCTAATATAAGAAGTAAGAAGCAATTTCTCTCTAAATCTAATATTCAGCTTTCAAATTTCACATTTATCGGTCTCCAAAGTGTCTAGGAGTCAATTTCCGGCTCGGTAGCTAAATCTCTACCTTCATCGTTTTTGTATCGTTTTTGTAATTGCAGTTTTTATTGATTCTTTTTTTGAAAAGACATTGGTAGTCAGTCTAACATAAGAATTTCTCATTTTAAAACATCTTCTTTGTGTTTTCATTACCTAGTTGTTTTGTTATAAAAACAATTTTTAATCTATGGGTGAATAATTGATATTAAATATTGGTTTTAATGATGAATTTGAAACAAAAATATAAGCGTATGATAAACTCGAAGTTTTTAAGGCTGAAGGGTGTGGGTGCGGTCTGGGACTGTGGTCTGTGCCACGTCAACCGCGAACACCGCCTCCAGGCCGCGGTGTGGTGCGGTCTTGGCCGCACTGCAGCTAGAAACCACCGCGTTTTGTGATTGGTCCTTGGGTTTTGACTGCTTTTTTGACTGTTGAATCGGTCTTTGTGGTTAATTTCTTTTTTTTTTTTTTTAATTACTACATATATATATATATATATATATATATATATATATATATATATATATATATATATATATATATATATATATATATATATATATATATATATATATATTACCATTTAACACAACATTTTTACACAACCTTTAACCATATCTCTTCTCCTTCTCTCTCTCTCTTTTTTTTTTTTTTTTTTTTTGAAAAATGTCATTTTCCAAACGACCCAGCAAAGAAAAAACACCAGTCAGAAACACCAACACCCCAATACCTTCATTTGATCAACCGTTTTCTCACCTCCGTATTACCATTACGGCGGTATGTTTCGTATTTTCCACAACGACCAGCGCAACCACTACCACAAACACCACCACTACCACAACCCGACATAGATTTTAATTCATTTGATTTTTTGTCTCAACCTGAGTTTGTTCAACAAACACAAACACAAACACAACCAGAAATGGTCATTTCTGATTCTGAACCAGAATTCGTTACAGAAACTCAGCCCACTCGAGCAGCAACTAAAAGAAAAGAGAAGGCAGATGCTAGATGTTGGGAACCTTTGGAAGCGTTAGTGTTGGCACAATCTTAGATCGATATTTCAGAAGATGTGACGGTTGGAAAAGACCAAAAGCAAGACCGCTTTTGGATTCGCATTTTACACAGGTTCCATAAAGGAATGAACCATGGAGAATACCGTTCAAAACATCAAGTGTACTCCAAATGGGGGAAGATGAACAAGGAAGTCATGTTGTTTAATGACTTGTGGAACAACATGAAACGTCAATGGAAAAGTGGAGAAAGCGATGAAGTGATTTTGAAGAAAGCGTTGAAAGTGTATCAAAAAGAAAATCTGAAGGCTTTCAAATTTCTTGAAGTTTGGAATTTTTTAAAAAGATAACAGGAAATGGTTGAGTAGCAAAACATCAGACGAGCATATTGATAGTGGTTCAAAACGCAGCAGAACATCTGAGTCCGACCACACTACATCAGATGCTCGTGTTCAATTTGATCTGAACGAAGATGAACCTGTTCCAGTTTCACCACCTTCCCGAGCAATGGGAAGAGACAAAGCAAAAAGCAAAGGCAAAGGCAAAGCGTCGGATTCAGATGATTTAAAAGAAATGGGAGCCGGCATGAAGGGTATAAAAGACAGAATGAACAAGATTTTGCAAATTGCTTCTGAAAAAGAGCTTCGGAAACAAAGGGAGAGCGACATGCAAATACTAGCGACGGACACGTCGAATATGATCATGGTTGAGCTTGAAGTGGTTTTGGCGATAAAGGAGGAAATGAAAAAACATTATATCAATCGTGGCTAATTTCTAGTTTTTTTTTCAAGTTTTTAATCGTTTGGTGTGTGTGTGTGTGTATGTTTTTAAGTTATAGTTTTATTTTTCTAATTTGTTTTTCTAAATTTTTAGGTGTTTTTTAAAGTTATGTAATGTATGGTATTTGTATTTTTAATTAATGAAATATTATCTTTTTAAAATTATGTTTTTTTTATTAAAAAAATAAGTTTTATTAAATTAAAATAGTTAACCAAAAAAAAATAAAAAATAATAATAATAAAATAAAAGTGTGGCACCACCCCTTGGTGTGGCAAGAAACCACACTTGTGTGGTAAAAAATAACATGACGTTTATGTGGCGGGGGGGAGTGTGGTTTCAGTGGCACCACTCCCTCCAGCCTAATAGAGCCTGCTGCAAGATTTTGTTGGTTTATAGTTTGATATTTTTCAACAAAATGTTTTTAAAAACCCAAATAGATTACCAGAGGTGCTCTACATAATTATTTTCAAATGACACTTTTTAACATCTCAAATGATTTTCTTCATTAATTCTTGTATTACACTTTGTAAATTGATGATTTAAATGTTAGTTGGTTAGCTACAAAAAATTAACTTCAAATGGAAAAGTTACTATGAATTTCTAATATCTAATGTTACTTTCCCTTCTTTTATGGTATGTATTTGACAATTGTTATAGATGGATGAGTCTGATAACTTCAATTCTGTTATATAAACCCTCATATTATCAATCTTATTATATTCATTACAAAAACACGAGACATCTATCTGATATAGTATTCTCTTTGTTGTCCTTCAAGGGAAAGGAAGTTAGACTAATGAGTTTGATTAACCTCAATTTCAGGGACAAAATGTTTCTGTTTTGATAGTTCAATGCCTTCTTTCACATTTGATATTTCAGTCTTGATCAAATGTGTACATTTGAAGATCGTGGGAATGGTAAGCACTCCATGCTTACTTTTATGATGAGGCATGGCTAGGTTTTATGATCCTTACATAGCAATAAAATACTTGGCGGAATTATGCAAAAATAAAATTGTATATTCCAAATATTGATAAATCTATATTGTTGAAAATGAGCATATCTTTGTATGGTATTCTATTTATTGTGTACCGTGTAGCAGATGTTAGAATAAGTTTAGCAACTTTTGTTTATACATACCAAAACAAATCAACATTTCTTAACCAACTGTTTGAATTTTTGTTTACAAAAATAGTACAATTGGAATAAACAAATTGCCTAAATAGTTCTATTTGATATTCTAACAAAGTTTTTTATAAACAACACAGTTTGCGAAAATTCTATCTATTATATTTGGGGGTGTTTGGATAGGAAAAAAAGAAAGTGTTTATTGTGTATAGCTTGCTTATTTTCACTACAATAAGCTAAGTTTAAGTGTTTGGATAAAATCCTTAAAAATCAGTTTATTATGTTATAAATAAGTTAATTTTAATAAGCATCTTCCCCCTTATTTATTACTTATTCTTACCACAAATAAGCTAATAAGCTAATCCAAACACTCCTTAAAATAACAAGAACTCTGCTTGTTACTAGAAAAAATTATGCAATATAATATTAAGGGTATATTTGGATTAGCTTTTTTATGTCAAAAGTGATTTCTAAGAAAAAACTGGTTTTAAAAAAATGTTTGGATGCAAAAAGCTACTTTTTTAAGAGTAAAATGGTTAAAAAACTAAAAAGCTAGGATTTTCCAGTTTTTTGAAAGCTTTAGTTTTTCCGATCCAAAAAACAGTTTTAAAAAACAATTTTTAAATACACAAACATTTTTTTTAACTTATTAGCTTTTTAAAAAACTAAAAAGCTAATAAGCTTTTTTTTAAAAGCTATCCCAAACACCCACTAAAGCAATATTAAAAACCACACCCATAAAAAAATAAAATTCATATATTTGTTTTTCATTAATTTGTAATACATTATTATATCGATATTAAAAACCACACCCATAAAAAAATAACTCCATATAATGAACGGCAAAATAAAACTCTAAAACCTTAATTATCCCACTTAAATTTTTTTAACATCTTTACAAACTGTCGAGAAGATTTTATTTAATTATAAATAAATATTTACTACAAACAAGAACATTAAATTACATATTAACTTACATAAAGTAAAAAACAAAAATCTTATTATTAAACCTCCCAAAAAAAATAAAAAATAAAAAATAAAAAAAAACTTCGGATGCATACATCCGTTTCATCAAAATTGTTTCCGCCAAAATCAAGCTAAAATCAACTCCGTCCCCTTGCACAACTCGACTTGTGGAACTCTGCCAACAAATATCAATATCAATATTCAAAAATCAAAATGACTAAATTACATTTTCAGTCCCTGCATATAGCTAATTTTTCAAAATTTTCCCCCAAGAAAGTTTTCTTTCGCAACTTCGGTCTAAAATTGCAAAAATCAACTATACCCAGGGACCAAAAATGTAATTTCATCATTCATGTGTGTGTACCTTTGTTTAACTTTAATCATTCCTGTTCCAGTAAGCATTGGAATCCCCATAATAATACATTCACTGACGCCTTCAATCTTATCCACTCTCCCATTAACCGCTGCATTAAAAAGATGATCCGATGTCTTTTCAAACGACGCCAGCATCAGCACGCTCTCCTTCATCTTCTGAATCCCAAACCTCGTAATCCCCAAAACTTCACCCTTATATGTCATCACATCCGCTAAAAGCATCATATGTCGGATATCGATACTCATTCCATGACTCTCCATTGTGTATTGGATTTCTTTTATAATCGACCTTCTTGCAGCTTCGATCCCGAGTGTGTTTTGTACTTCCAGAATGTGATTACTTGTTGTCTCGTGTCCGTTTATTCCTTCCATTCCCATCACCGCTTGGAGCCCCGTCCTGTCAGTCTCAGCTTGTTAAAATTACTAAAATACCCCTCAACACTTCTCTTTATTATAAATTATAAATTGTAAAATGTAAAATGTAAACTAACCCTTCGACAAGCAAATTGAACTTTTCCTGCTCCTTTTTCTTGTTTATCACAGCTCGTTCGATTGTACCAATTCCCTAGAAATGTATATATAATATAAAATCATTAATTTACAAAATTATAAATAATGAATTTGTTTTTTTTTTTAATGTGACTGACCTTGACAACGACTGATGGAAGCCTGTTTCTGTACCAATGAAGATCAAAATAATACTTGCTCCTATCATATGGAGGATTAATTTCAAGTTTATAATCATCCAAGATCCTGATATGCTGTAATCCATAACAAATGTACATATTTATATATCAGAAAATAGTTTTCAAGTACCAAATTATATCAACAATTCTTACATTTTCCTTGAGTTTGATTTTAGGAGTCTTTAGAATCGAATCTTGAACAGTGTAAGCATTTATATTGAGTTGTAGCGCTTCGATTGTTTTCTTGTCAAGAGAAACCACAATAGATGCGGATCTTAATCCCAATACAAGCTTTATACTCTTTGCAACCTGTGAAAAACAATATCTCAATATTTCAAATTTCAAGAGAAAAAGACAGAAATACCCCTGGAAAAGAATGATTATATCCAACCTGTCCCAAGAGAGTTCTCTCCATTTTCCCTTTCACCAGTCGTGCAAATGACACGTTGTCATTAGTTCTAAGCTTTGCAGTAATGACAGGTGTGCTGATTTTCTTGGCTGCATTTAAGATTTCCTTTATACGAGGAACCCCGAGAGTGACATCTGTCATAAACTTAAGGACACTACAATTATTTAGAAAAAAAATTAAATAAAATATTTAGAAAAAGGATACTCATGCTAGCAACTCCAGCAAAATGGAAAGTTTTTAATGTCATTTGTGTCCCTGGTTCTCCAATACTTTGAGCACCAATTGCACCAATATTTGTCCCAGCATCAATTTTTTTATGATGATAACGTGAGATGCAAGTTTCCATGAACACCTATAACAAATAAATAAATAATAATAGAAAATGAAACTTTTTTTTTTTTTTTGAGTTAATGAGATTTAATAGATATATATATTGAGAAATACCTGAAGCTGTTGAGGGGTGATGCCAGATACACTTTGAGCAACATTTTCAAAAACTAATGATTCATCATGATTAAGTTGTCCACGTGGCATGATTGCTTTCATTGTGAAATCCAATGTTGTTGCAATATTTTCAAGAAATTGTTTTAATTTCTTCCGAAAGTCTTCAGAGCAGCCTCCTTCTGGAGTCATATCATGCATTGAAAGACGTTCTTCAACCACTTCACGAATCTCTGTAGGAGACATGCCTTTATGTTCCCCAGAAGGACATGTATTCTTTCATTCAAAAACAACAAAAGTTACTAATCAATTATAAAACTTATAATATAAATAGTTAAAAAGTTAAAAATATTAAAATACCTTGGCTTTATCCAATAACCTTGAGAAATTAAGAGGAAACCCTGATTTTCCTTCCATTTGAGAAGGATCTCTTCCATCACCACCATATGTGAATTGAACAATACATGCACTTGAATCTCTCACTGTGTTATCATAGTAAACTGATAAATCTTCCAATCCTTTGATAAGTTTTCTAGACATGTAACCCGTGTCAGCTGTTTTCACCTGTGTGTCACACATTACAAAAATTACCATAATACCCTTTTACTCATTACTTTTAAATCTTCGTTTTTTTTTTTTTCTTTTTAAATTACCGCTGTGTCCACAAGCCCTTCTCGTCCTCCCATGGTGTGGAAGAAAAACTCGGTAGCTGTCAAACCACTGTAAAAAGAATTTGCTACAAACCCTTTTGCCTGAATTGAAAAATATATATATATATATATATAAAAGATAAACATAAAAGAAAGAAAGGTGAGGGGTAAAAATGTAAAACATACAGCAGGGGTTTTTGACATTCTTTGAAAATGGGGAAGACTTCTGTCTATGAATCCATTTGGAGCTCGTTGACCTCCAACTGATTGTTGACCAACACATGCAATCATTTGACTTATGTTGATTGGAGAACCTTTGGACCCACATTGAGACATAATTAAAGGGCTGTTTCTCCAATGTAGTTTTTCCATACAGACCTGTTTATGTAAATTCATTATTACACTTAATAGTTGATTTAAAAAAATATGGAGATAGATATTAATCTATTATTACCTTTCCAGTTTCATCTCTGATCTTATTTAATACACCTGTGATCTCAGCTTCAAGGGTCTGAGCAGCATTACAACCAGGTTGTAACTTGAGCTTTCCATTATTAAAATCCAATATAAAATTATCACATTTTTTATTCCCTTCAGAAATAATTCTATTTGTGTTGTCATTCAAATTATCCCCAGGTTGCACATCATCAATTCCTATTGAGAATCCATGGTTTCCTATCCATCGAGCACTGCATCATAAAATATAAACACAATAAAACATAACATAACATTACATTAACTAAATCTCTAAATCAGATTCAAGAAAACATAAATAAATAAATAAAAATAAAAAGTACCTTAGTTTTGCTAAGCGATTCATACAAGCAGCAGCAGCATGTGAGTTATAATCCCTAAGAAGAACAGAGTAAAGTCCATCCTTGTTGCCATTCCCTGTTGCATTATTTAATCACACAAGGGTATTTTTGACATTTCCAAAAGATTTGAAAAGAGAAGAAAACCAGACCTAAAGTAGCCTTCCCAAGCTGCCCACTTAGAAGCTCACTATTATGAATATAGATATATCCATCATTAGGGCACATGGTTTCATAAGGTTTGACTCTTTTGCCACTTGGCTTTGTGTAACTCTTTTCAGTAACAGTAAGATTCAGATAAACTCTCATATCTGCATATGGGCGCAACAATACACTAAACAACTGTTTACCAGTCCAAAGCTCTATTGGCTGCAACCAAAACAGTTAAAATAAACCATAATTGACATAAATACCCCCATAACAATGTCAAGTTCTGTTATGTTATTTTCAAACCTTGAGTATAACAGGAGTTGGCAAATCAAGAGGATCCATTGCATCACCCATATAGCAACACATAAGTGCAAATGAAGCTCGATCATAGAAAGTGTCTTTTCTTGTTATAAGGAAAGAAGATGTCAAAAAATCTTGAGTTGATGCAACCAAAATCTCCCCATTCTTTGGTGTACATAAATTGTTCTGAACCTGTGTGATTGAAAACAAACGATATGTGATGTTTCAATCATATCATGATTCTAAACTAAAGTTTGGTTAATTAATTAATTGAAAATGACAGAATTACCCCCATTAGCATAAGAGCTTCTGTTCGAGCCTCTTCTGTTTGTGGAACATGCATATTCATCTCATCACCATCAAAATCAGCATTGTAAGGATTGCAAACAGATTCATTGAATCTCAATGTCCTCCATGGCATAATCCTCGCCTACATACAATAAATTAATCAAAAATAATAATAATAATAATATATTTTTTTTTTCATCAATCATCAGACTCTCACCCTGTGACTCATGATTGACATACGATGCAAACTCGGTTGCCTATTAAACAGAACAACATCTCCATGTATCAAATGTCTGTCAACTACATCACCAATTTTCAATTCATCAGCCAAACGCTTTCTTGCATTGATACTCAATGATCTACAGCATCACATAGAATCAAAAAAATCACTCATCCATTCATCAAGAAAATCAAAATTCATCACCATGAATGACTAATGACACCAATACTTACAGCATGCTACCATCTGTCTTTCTTATATGCTTAGCACCAGGGTATTTAATAGTTCCATTACGTACAGCATGTCTTAATCTCTCTATATTGTGATTTGAAACTCTCTCAGGGAAAGTTAAAATCTTAGCCATTAAGATAGGAATTCCAACCTGAAACCAATAATACAAAAAAGAAATCAAATTCAAGAATCAAGATTATCATCAATCATGAGAAGCCAATTGTCAAAAGTGAAAACAATTAACAAACCTCTGTAATCTTTAAGTTAGGATCTGGAGAAATAACTGTTCTTCCAGTATATTCAACACGTTTCCCTGATAAATTCCCTCTAAATCTCCCTTGTTTCCCTTTCATACGTTGAACAAGACCAGACATTGGTTTAGTGTTTTGAAGATTAGGTGAAGGAGGCACACGAACATCACTGTTTATATATAGTGCAACAGTAATTTGTAAATACTCCCAATTTTCCTACAATCATAAAAGGGTATTATAACTATAAATAGTTACAACATTTAAAAAAAAAAAAAAAAAAAAAAAAAGTGATGATAAGAAAAACTATACCATGGTTTTGTTAGCAGCACTTGGGTCTGATAAATTTTGATTAAGAAGAGCATTGGCTTTTATAATTTCAGCCAATCTCAAGGTTACATCATTCTCATTGCTGCAAGATAGAAGAGAGAAACATTGGTTTAAATTTTAAAGAAAATAATTAGTTTGTAATGTTAAAACATTAAAAAATAATAATAATAATAATAATAAACCTTGTTGCTCCACCATCAACTTTGACAGAAGGGCGAATAGGTAATGGAGGAACAGGAATTACTGATATAATGAGTTTCTCAGGTCTATCAGCAAGATAAAGCAAATCACAATCCTGTAACACAATGTAAAAACAAAATCATAACAACTTTGAATCAAGTTCTTTTCATATAATAGTAATACTTTCATTAAAAGTCATAGAAAATGGTACCTCATCCACCATCTTCTTAAAAAGTTTAAGAACTTTGTCAGGGTTTAAACAAAGTGACAAATTGACAGGTGTCTTTGACTCCTTGAGGTGAGAGGTAGCAACAGTTAATTCCTTTGAGGTAGAATCTTGAACTTTGCTACGATCATGTACAACTCCAACTGTTCCAACAGCCTTTTTCACTATACCTGTAACAAATTATAAATCATCATTAGTGAAAATAATATACAAAATGTCTTATCTATGAAAATAACAAGTAAGAAATGAACCATTTATGTAGCCACATCTGGAGCATATCACTGCTTTCTTACTACTTGCCATAGCTGTGCACCTTTTCACTACCTTTTTAAAAGTTTCATTCTTTCTTAAATGATCCAGTTTTGGATTTCTCATCTTCTTTAAATAGCCTACACGTTCTTCCTCCAACAACAATATGCGTGAACATGACTGAAAAGAAGAAAACAAAATGGAAATGAGAAAGGGAAAAAGAATTATAGAGCTTGTTTGCAGCTACAATACCTTGCATATGCACTTCAAAATGTCCACAATATGAGAAATATATCCAACATTATAAACTGGTAACACAAGTGTCAGGTATCCAAAGTGACCAGGGCAATTTTCAAATTTTCCATGGCATGTGTCACATGTGCCTGATTTGTTTGGAGGACCCTGAAATAACAACAAAGATGTCTTTCAGAACTCTTCATAAACAATAACAAGTGAAAATAAGTTATAACTACATGTGAACAATAAAAATATGTAGCATAAGGTTAAAAAGCAACAATATAATCTCATAGCTTCTTATACAATTCAAAGTACTCTTATGCAAGTATGCAACACACCAACATTATGAAAAAAGTTACACATATATTGTTAAAAATCGCATTTTTCCACGTTTAGTGTTTATTTTAGAGGTCATGATGTGCAACAATGGTGTTTAGTACAAAACTCTCTTTATTCAAATCAATTTATTAGTTGAATGCTAGTAAACACTCTTAGTGTAATAGGGCACAATGTCCTCAATTCTACTACACACAATCATATATCTCCTATGCAAAATGGAGAATAGTCGATCAATTGCAGTCAAAACAAGTGAGATAACATGTATAAAATGCAGAGAAGTACAAAGTACCATGTGTGCATCCAACAAGCCATTGGGGACAGGGCTTTTGTCCTCTTGACTCACATAACATCGGGAGCAAGAAACCTGAACTTCCCCCATTTTGAGAACATCAGCGTCAGAAAACATTGAGAACTTAATGCTCTTGCTGTCATTAAATCAAAGATTTTGAGTAGAGTCAGAATGATTATAAGCAATTGAACTATTGAAAATCGTAAGAAATGATCATGAAAACTCTTACATCCTTCGGGGGCCTTTATCTTCGACATAAGGTTGTTTCGTGAATGTGAGGGTGGTGTCTTGTCCTCTATTGCTATTCATCGCATGCGCCATAGATCATAGATTGAACCAGAGGGGTTTGCAGTTCGTTCAATTAAGGGGTAATGGAGGGGAGAGGGTTAACACTTAACGCATTAGGGTTTTAGAACGGTTTATTTTTTCTCAAGGAGTTAAAGTGGTTTGGAGAAAAAACTTGTTCGAAAAAATACTCGGTAAGGGTAAATATAACTAGGGTGGCAATAGTAATTGTGTCCGGGTTGAATCCATCATCGTGTCTATGATCCATATAATTATCCGTGTAGTGGGTTGACGGGTTATGAGTTTGTAGGTTGGAACCTAGATACCAACCGTCTAAACCGTTTAACTATACAGGTTTCTGGGTCAGATTCGGATTAGCAGGTTGAGCTATGAACTCATATACTTATTTACATAACAGTAAGGATTAGTTGATTTTGGGCACGCAATACGCATAGGCTTATAATTGTAGTCACATAACTTAAAAACGATAATACCCTTTAAAAAATTGTATGGGTTGGTTGGTTGCCCCGTAAACCCAATTACTATCTCGTATGTCCTGTTTATTTGTCTGGTTGGTGGGTCACAAAATCTCAACCCAAACTTGTTTATTTTCGTGTTGGTTTTATGTCGTGTCACGAGTCGTGTTGAGAATTTTCATCCTTTATCTCTAAATATAATTGTAGTTAAAATATTTATAAATATACATTATTAAAATAGGGTTAGGTTTAAATGAGACAAACAAATTTTATGAGATGTGGAAATACATTTTTAGCCAATCAGGTTTTGTGTCAACAAAAAATCTAAAATACAAAAAAAAAAAAAAAAAAATGAAATTCTAAAGAAAAATATATTAATTTCGTTGTTATTTAAAATGTTTAATTTGTTAGAATATTCTAATTATTCTATGATAATGTTACATTATAAATATTCTAATATAATTTATATAATATTCTAATATTCTGTTAAAATTGTTATAATAATCAAAATTTTATTAGAATTGGTATAAAATATACTAATATTCCACAAATATTAGAATATTATATCTAAAATTATGTTACAATATTTCATGTATATATAAAAAATAGTATTCTTTTATTTATTTTTTATTTTATTTATTTGGATAAAAAATAACAAAAATACTATTTAAAAAATCATAAACTTTTATTTATTTGCATTTTAGAACTTTTATTTTTATTTTTGATCTCCAAAATAAACGGTTAAGATTATTGCCTTCAAGCATTTATATTTCAAAACATTTCAAACACATTATCAAAACATTCGTTCTTCTAAAACATTCTTTGTTTTCAAAAACATTATTGCCTTCAAGGTATTCTTTCAAAACATTTTTTCCAAAAGCATTTAACACTTTCTTTCCAAAACGTCATATATCAAAACATTAGCATTTTATTATCATAAAAATCATGTTTCCATGTACCCCAAAATGGGAAAATGCCAACACATACTCACCTTAATCATAAGAAGGCTAGCTAGTCCTTTTCTAGTTCATTTCCTAGTGAAACTCTCAAACAACACCTATACAACATGTATAAAAGTCAATAAATAACCAAAATAACCCTACAAGGGTTCTTAACTTTTCTAGAGCTTTAATATGCTAAAGATATATGTTAAAAGGTTTCGTGAAGGTTTCAAAACATAATAGTGAAAAACAAGTACTTTTGGAACAAAGTTCACCGTACCAACAGTTGAGTTCACCGTAATGGTGAGGGGTTTTACTGTAACCCTACGGTGAACCATGTTATGCTCCTTAATGTGTAGTTTTTTTCTCATTATGTAGCACCCAATTCCTGGTATGTATTTTACTCAAATATATTTCTCATTTTGACCTGGGACTCGGCGAGTTGGTGACCAAACTTGTCGAGTAGAAGCGAATTGGACACGGGAGTTAAGTAAGCGACTCGACGAGTCAGCAACTGGACTTGACGAGTCCGCAGTGTCTGGAAAAAACCCTAATTTAAGGGGTTTGCACCCTATTTAAACGTCTCATTCAACCCCCTTCGTCTCTATTTCCCTCAGAACCCTCTATAACCAAAACCCTAGTTGTTTTGAGTGATCTAAGGCCATTTTGGTGCTTGTGCTTGGTTTATGAAGCTTGAAAGGAAGGAAGAAGCTTGGAAATTCGAGTGGGGGCTTGTAGATCTAGAGATCTTAGTCCATCTTCAGCTTAAGCAAGGTAAATGCCCACTGTTTTGGTCTTTCTTTTGGTTGTTCATCTTTAGGGCCTAGATTTTTGGTGCATTTAGGGCTTTCTAAGCCATTTTCGGATTTATGAAGTGATTCATGGGGTTCTACTTTCAGATATGAGTCATTGGAGGGGTCTCATAACATAAAGGTGCCAACTTTATGGCCATGAGAGCCCCATGCACATTGTAGAGCACCTTTTATGGATTTTGAGCCAAAAACCCCATGCATGTGCACCAAGTTTGGAACTTTACGTATAAAATGGACATTAGGAGGCCATATATATGGTTTTGATGTGTTAAGACCCAGTAACCGATTGTATGGTATTGGTCAAGGATGGAATCGCCGAGTTGTTCTTGGGACTCGGCGAGTCAAGGTGTAATAACCACCAGATCCGTTTTGGGAATCGACCAGTTGATAGGGAAGGAAGTCTCGTAGATGTTTGGACGCGAAAGAGGACCTAAGAGTCATGGGACTTGCAACATCCCAAGTTCAGAAGCAAGAATTTGATGGGTGCTATATAAAAATAAATGAAGGGACTCGGCGAGTAGGTCTCTTAACTCGCCGAGTCGAAGCGAGTGTCGGGCACGTGATTAAGTGCCCTGACTCACCGAGTTGTCAGTTGGACTCGACGAGTCGGTGCTGAATGAGGAAAATCCCTAATCGTCATGTTTGCACCCTATTTAAAGGACTTAATGTCCTCCCCTCAGCCCCCTTAGCCCCCTTTGAGATCCAGAAACCCTAATTTCATTTGTGAGAAGCCTTGGAAGCAAATTAGAGTGATTTGTGAATGGATCTTGAAGATCAAGAAGCTTGGATCAAGGAGACTTGAAGAGATCCAGATTATACTTCAGTGGGAGGTCATTTTGGAGGTAAGGAATCGTTATCCTTGGCCTTCTCCTTTCTAGTTCCATTTTCATGGAGTTTTAGGGTTTGGTTGGAGAAATATTGATGAGATCTTGGTGCATGAGTTAGATCTGGAGTTGAAACTCCAGATCTGAGTTCTATGTGGATCATTGATGCAGAAAGCCTTTCTAGTTGTTATGCAAAATCCATTCCCCATGAGTTAAGTTCCTTTCTAGCTTGGTTTTTGGAGTAATGGGGCATGAAGCACATAAAGGTAGAAACTTTAAGTTGCTAATGGACTCTAGAGACCCATATCTATTGTTTGGAGCAAAGGAGTAACTCTGAATCTCTAGATTTTGGACATGCACGTATGAACTCGGCGAGTCTGGGAGATGACTCAGTGAGTTGGGTCAGGGTTTTAGGCTTGAGTCGCGTAGTAACTCGGCAAGCCACATAGGTGACTTGGCGAGTCATATGATGATGAGCTTGGACTCGACGAGTTGAAGAACAACTCGGCGAGTTTGATGAAGATTGTCGTGGACTTGGCAAGTCTGTTCTTGGACTCGGCGAGTCACAAGCAGAACCTTCAACCTTTTATGGTTAATACTCAAAGCAGTGAGCTGAGTGGTGATTCAGTGAGTTGGTCAAGATGAGACTCGGAGATTGTTGAACTCGACAAGTCATGGGGTGACTCGACAAGTAGATTCAATCGGAAAGTTGACTTTGACTGAGGACTTTGATTTTGACCTTTAGGGCTATTAAGGTAATTTGGATATTTATGTCAATGGTAATTGATGGCTATAAGTGTTGGAGTTTGAAGTAGTACTTCGGGATTATGCTTTCGTGATTCGGTTCGACGGTTGCTAGGTGAGTTCTCCTCACTATATCAATAGGGTCTACAGCACCAAGGCCAACCCTTTATGATTTACATCCTGGTTTAGGATGGTTGCTATGTTAGATTACATCCCGGTTTAGGATGGTTGCTATGTTAGATTACATCCCGGTTTAGGATGGTTGCTATGTTGGATCACATTCTGGTTTAGGATGGTTGCTATGATAGACTACATCCTAGTTTAGGATGGTTGTTGTGCTAGTAATTTGTTTGATTTATATCCTGGTGGTAGGATGCTAGAGATCAGTTAGATCTGTATGACTCTTTGCTATTGCATACTAGCTATGATATTTATGTGCACATGTTTATTGGTTTGGGGAAGGGTTGAGGCAGGTCCTTCTGTGTGTTGTAGTGCCAAGACACCCTGGGCGGACCGGGTAGACCGCAGGCCCGAGCCGGGCAAATCTAGTCAGACCGAAGGCCAAGCGAGCGGTTCGGATAGACTGAAGGCCCCGAGGAGGGCGGTCCAGATGTGCCGAAGGCTCGGAGAGCGGTCCAGATAGACTGAAGGCCTGCGAGGCGGTCCAGTCAGGCTGAAGGCTCACTATGCATGGTTTTTTGTATTTGCTGATATGATATGAGTATGGTTATATGATGTTGGTATTTTGGGGGAACTCAATAAGCCTTTGCGCTTACATTTATCGATTATTGTTTCAGGTTTTCTGATGATCGCGAGAAGGCGAAGGCGTGATTGTGCACCTCCTTACATTTTCATGATTGATTCCGGGAATACTCTGATGTTTAAATTATTTTGAAAGTAAACTGTAATAACTTAATTCTTTTTAGACGTTTTAAAAAGTTTTAAATTGGCTTGATATATATGAGTGATACAAGTTGGTATCAGAGCCTTGGTTTGAGTGAATTGGAGGAACAATCGTGTGAATTCAGTCTCAAATCAGGGAAAGATTTTAAAATGATTTCTAAAATGGTTTTCAAATGATAAAGGAGGATGCAGTGTAAGATCAGCCGGAGCTCGCGAATATACCCCAAATACCATACAATATTTGATTATGTAATATGTTAGAACATCATGCTAGTGCTAGGCTAGGGATCTTCAGGTATTGCATGATAGAATTGCATGATTACATGATGCCTGATAGCCTAGGGTTTTTCCTTATATGAAATTGACGTCATTATTGTAGTTGCTTAGTATATGCATCACTGTTGTACATAATTAAGATCTTATAGACTGAGAATGTTTGGTTTGGCTTTATTTCCTGTTCCTTGTTTGGTTGTGGGCTTAGAGTAGGACCGAGTATTCGAAAGTCTATAGGGTCCAACGTTATGTATGGT